AATCACCCCTATTCTGGATTTCGTTTCAAACGAAATTCTCATACAAAAAATATTTTTTTTGTATGAGAATTTCGTTCGAAACGAAATACAGAATAGGGGTGAATATCAAAGAACACGCGATCATGCCATGAAAGTTATCTGGCGGGATTTGCAAAAACAAATTAAAAAGCGATTCTCTGCCCTGAGGAACAAAACTTTTGAAACTTGCTAAGCAATTCGAGAGTTCCCATAATTTCAGTTTTGGTCTTACTAGTCCTATTGAGAATCAGGATACTCGGGATTATGTGAATATTTTCACCCGGGAAAATATTTTTGATGATTCCTATGGGATTGATTTGGACGAAGTAAGGTCTATAACCAGAAAGTTTCATAATATGAAAGCTCCAGGAGATGATGGAATTATCTATATCTATATAAAATTCCCAGAGAGTACCTTGTCTTTCTTGGTAAAATTTTTTAACAGATGTTTCCATTTGGCATACTTTCCTGATAAATGGAAAAATGCAAAAGTTGTTCCAATTTTGAAGCCGAATAAAAATCCAGCTGAAGCTTCTAGCTACCGTCCAATAAGTTTGCTTTCTTCAATAAGTAAGCTTTTTGAAAAGATAATTTTAAACAGAATGATGCTTCACATCAATACGAACTCAATTTTTGCAGATGAGCAGTTTGGATTTCTCCATGAACATTCAACTACTCATCAACTCTTAAGAGCTACCAATTTAATTCGTTCAAACAAATCTGAAGGCTACTCAACTGGAGTTGCTCTTCTAGACATAGAAAAAGCATTCGACAGTATTTGGCATGAAGGTTTGATTGCTAAATTGAAAAAGTTTAATTTTCCACTTTATATTAGGAAATTAGTTCAAAATTATTTAACTGACAGAACTCTGTAGGTAAATTATCAAAATTCCAAATCTAATCGACTACCAGTTAGAGCAGGAGTTCCGCAGGGTAGCATTCTTGGGCCTATATTGTATAACATTTTCACTTCGGACCTCCCTGATTTGCCTCAGGGTTGCCACAAATCTTTGTTCGCTGATGACACAGGCATTTCCGCTAAAGGAAGAAGTCTTCGTGTTATTTGCAGCAGGCTGCAGACAAGTTTAGATATTTTTTCTTCTTATTTACAAAAATTGAAGATTTCTCCAAACGCTTTCAAAACTCAACTTATAATATTTCCACATAAGCCTAGAACTTCCTTTTTGAAACCTAGTAGTAGTCACATAGTCACTATGAATGAAGTTCCAATTTCCTGATCAAACCAAGTGAAATATCTTGGATTAATACTTGACCAAAAATTAACTTCTAAAGATCACATTCAAGCCAAATGTAACAAGTATATAAAATGTTTGTATCCTCTTATAAACAGGAAATCCAAACTTTGCCTGACGAATAAACTTCTAATATTTAAACAAGTTTTTAGACCGGCCATGCTTCACGCTGTGCCAATATGGTCTAGTACCGAAGTACATAGAATTTCGAATGTTGAGACTTTAGAACAAATGTCCAACAAAATAATTAATAATTTCAGGCAAAAATCGTTGCAATCCTCAATTGCAACGATTTATTCCCTCTATACTTAGATAAGATTTAGTTTTAGTTTTTAGTTTTAAGATTTCAATTGTTATGCTGACATGCAGGCTGAATTGCTAAGGCAGGAAGAATGTAAAAATACTTAGATATATATCATAACAATTAAAGCTGGTAAGTTACTGTTAAAAAAGGTTAAAATGAAATGTAATTTATTTTGAATATGGAACAAATAAAGAGTTAAAAAAAAAGCTGACAGCTCAAGCACAGAAAACGGTTCCGTACGGAATACGTCGAAACTGTACAGTAGGATGAATGGTGGCGATGGATCACTACACTGATACAAAATCCATCGGCAAAAATACTATATTGCTGGTTTAAATTAAGTACCCTCACCAATAGATTTTTGCTGAAAACAATTTCATTTAATGTTACTTTTATTTCTATCCAAATATCTACGCAATTTGAGCAAGCATAGTAGTTTTGCCAAAGTCATAGTAAATTTGCTTATATTCATAGTTACTGAAATCGAAGTAGATTTAACGGTAATAAGCGTGGTTATATTGAAAGTGTTTTCTGCAAAATAGTATTCCTAACTATGGTCCTTGTTTCAGTGTAGGTTCCGGTGAACATTCCCAGCTGTATTTGGACGGGAATTTGATTCGCAATATTCTCGTACAGAAACTCCATCAGCCGGTGGGTGTCTTACTTCACCATTAGCTCCTTCATATCCAAACCCTTGGCCAGCAGCAGCGACGAGTAAAGTTTAGGTCGAGTGGAAAAAAATAACATGAATTCTTTTTCCACCTGCTTGTCGTAGGGGGTTTCATTGGTGTGGCTTTTCCCGGGGCTAGAATCATCAATTCGAACGAAATCAACAGTTGTTTCGCGCCTGTTCGGTAACTTTCATGCTACAACACACAGACAGCTGGGCTCTTATCCGTCGAATTCGATCGGTTTGAGTCCGGGAAATGGATGTGCGTTGCCGTCTCCTCCGTGATGCACTTGATGTTTTTGCCCCCGAGACCGATTATTCTTTGGTACAAGCAATGTAAATATTTACCTTATTTGACAAAACCCAGGTTATCATGACAGCAGTAGGTTTCTTTTCTTCATTCTAATTGTTTTCAATAGAGATTGCTAAAGTATTATTGTGTCAGTGATTTGTTTTCATCGGGAACATTTTCCGCTATGAAGTTTTTTTTCCCGATGAAAGCATTTTGCGTATACATATACGTGACGTAGTGTACGTACGATAAACGTCAGCAATCTTTATAATCAAACGTCATGATTACCTGGGTTTTGTCAAATAAGGTAAATATCTTGTCATCTGAAAACTTCGAGAAACTGCACGGCTTGCTTGACAATTTGAGTGCATGCAGAAGGGATAAGTTGGGAATAGAAAGAATAGGGTTAACTACCCCATTTCCGGCCTATTAAGCACAACCCGCACTTAGTATTTCTTAATCTAACGCAGTTTAGCACGAAACGGAATGTTATAATTACTGATGGATCCAAATTAATTTACCTTTCCGTACGTACCAAAAGATTTGATAAAGAAAAACCAATCGTTGATATATTGCCAAAAGTCTAACACTGCTTCTTGACGCCAAACTCGGCCTACGGATTCTAAACTCGGCCTAACGCATTGAAACGCCATTGAACCGCCAATGAATTCACTTCGGCCTATCCGATGAAGATAAAAATTGATTCGGTCGGAGCGCTTCTTTTGTTTTTGGGAATAATGGGTGCAAACCTTCATATCACGCTTTCTCATTGACTTCGTTCGGAAGCTTATTAACTAAAGTATCGTACCATACACATAATTGACTAGTTAACCCTGAAATCATGGATTTATTTGAAGTTTTCTGCTCGATAGGCCCAAAATGGGCGATTAGGCCGAAGTAGTTCTCTACCCTGGATAGGATGGATTGAAATTTTGCGCACGTTGAAAATTTTATGAGAGGCTTGGGTAAAAATGGGATAATCCTGAAGTGTCGTTCCCCTGAGCTGGTCATTGGCTCCAAGTGGTCACCAGATGGGCCGCAGGAAGATCCGTTCAAACTTTTGGAGTCTTGGCCTATCTGGAGCCGGCGGACTCGATTTCCGGAGCGGTCTAGAAAATGTTGAACCCTATACTTACCACAAGATTTTTCACTGTTTTGAAATGTTAGAATTCGATTTGAAAATATATCAAATGCATATTGCAGCATAAGTTTGTTAAAAAAAATGATCACCCACTTGTTGATTATCTTGAGCAACTATGGGAAAGAAAAGGTTAACACTAAATAGACAGATTTCAGTCACTGGAAGAGTGTTGATAATTACGTATAAGAACTGGTTTTTCGAGTAGATGTTATGTTATGTTCATAAATTGTCAGTAGCACTACCGTGATTTGTTCATTAATCTCTCCCATTTTAAATTAAATTCATTGATATTAAAGTTATCTACTTTAAGACGAGCGAAAGCTTTATTTCGATATTAATGTGGCTAAGGTCTAAATTAGCATAAATTTCGTAATGAAATTAGCACTCAAAAAACCATTTTTCAAACTTTTTCTGCACGTTGGGTTCACTCTCACGGCATTCGGCTTTACTGTTCTGTAATAATTATACACACGGTGAACATAATATTTTCTCACTCAAATGATGTAATTGGACCCATATCCGATATACCGATAGTTCCCGGAAATGTTCCGGAGCCCCCGGGAAGTAGCCAATTTTCGACAAGAACCAAAACCCGTTGTGCGACGCATCAAACTTCATGATTTTACAAAACATGGCCAGCCTTATTGACAAACCACAATCACACTAGACCTCTCGGTTATGTTCCGGTGTCTCCGGGGAAGAGGCTAGTTTTCTAAAAGAACCAAAACCTATCGTGTGACATATCCAACTTCATGGTTTTTCAAAACTCGGCTGGTAGTAGCCTTATTGAGAGACCACGATCACATTGGCCATCACGGAAATGTTCTGGGGCCCTTTAGGAAGTGGCCATTTCTCAACTAGAATTAAAACTCGTCGTTCAACACATCATACTTCATGATTTTGCAAAAGCTTCCTTCGGAAGGGAAGTGAAGCCTTTAGTCCCAGCCCACGTGTTGATGGGTGCGATATCTACCCAGGTGTGGAAGCCACCTCCCTGAACATTCGATTACCGTCAATGAATGGCAATTGATGTCCGTCGATGATCGGCACTAGATTGCGGAACAGAGACTGACGTTAAATGAATGAATCATGAATAAAAGAAAAGAAAAGAGTACAATATGGTTGGCGACTGACCCGGTAATGCAATAAGTACAACGAATAGAAACTAGCATTTATGAAATCACGCTTGAAGGTGAAGCCTGGGGCAATACGGTTTGTGTGATATGTGATAACAATAAACAAAATATTGTTCAGAACCGAAAAACATTCAAATGCTTCGATTCTGATTACTATAAATATTTCCATAATAATTTAATACTTACGGTTAAGGTGCATCCTGGAAAATGTAGACAAATCGGATCTTCTGGCCATGTTTTAGAGATGTAGAAATGAAACTGCCAAATTTTATCTTTCAGGTACGTCATTATCGTTTGATGGAACTGAAATATAATTTATTAGTAACATTAGACAATAATTCATATGGCCATACCAGATGCAGACGTAATTCGCCATTCTCATATATCATACAAGCATTTAACGTTCAATTTGCTGATCACTTTAACGTTTCTATACAAACTTGCATCCAACAGTGTTCACAACATTGTTTGCCATTTAGTAAATAAGATTTTAGTTATGTTTGTCAGATTGCAGACAAGCAGACTTAACTCTTCGAACATCTGACCGTTCAAAACATCATCGCAGATCTCAACAAGTGACATATCGTGAGCTATCCGTCGTCAATATTAAACAGATTGTATAGAAACGTCCACGTGATCTTATGCCAGCAATGCCGCAGGTAATTGGCAGGCAACAAATTGTAAATAAATTGAATGTTAAGACAATAAATACATTATGAACATGCAAATTTTTGATTTTGAACTGAATTTCTTTCAGTGCTATGCAAGCGCCAGGCTTGCTTTCACTCACTTGCTATAAAAATGATTTTCGGAATTTTGGAATCATAAGATGTTATAATGATATTTTATATTTGTAAGATACAAGAAGAGGTTGAAAGGCAAGTGTTTGTCACATAAAACCAGGCTCGCAATTGCTCATTACAGCTAAAATGATATTTTTCGGTATTATGAAACAATGGGATACTATTAAGGTAATTTTAATTTGTAAGATGCAAGAAGAGGTGGTAAAGTTTGTATATGACATATAGAATTTGTCAATTTTGCTTTCAGAAGGTTGTTATGATCGCTGATTGCTCGCTCATCGCGTTGCTCATCGTTACAGCTAATCGCTAGTTGTGACCTTCTGAAAGCAAAATTGTCAAATTTTTTATGTCATATACAAACTTTACCACCTCTTCTTGCATCTTACAAATAAAAATTAACATTATAGTATCCCATTGTTTCATAATACCGAAAAATATCATTTTAGCTATAATGAGCAATTGCAAGCCTGCATAAAACCTATCAAATTTTCGCAATCAGCGATTTTTTGACTCGCGAGCGCTCACTTTGAGTGAACGCTCACGAATCATAAAATCGCTGATTGTGACACTCTCAAAGCAAAATTGACAGGTGTGTCAAACACATTGTTTGCAACCTCTTCTTTAAACTAACAAGTACAAAATATCATAATAACATCTAAAGATTTTATAATTTCGAAAAACATTTTTTATGACTTGCTGTGGAAGCAACCCTGCTTATCGGAGACGAACCAGAATTCGGCTAAAAGTCTCCTTAACAAAGATAACTAACTAACCCTGCTTACAGGTTGAGTTATACATGGAAAATGAAAGTACTATTTCATACACTAGTTGTGTTTCTTATAAAAATATATTTCACTTCAATTTTAAACAGTTTCAAAAACAGCCACATTATGATGGTGTCCCGTTAAGAAAGACAAATTTTTTGGCATTATGGAAATATTAAACATTTGGGAAAGTAAAAATTCGAATGCTCTTAGTACTCGTTAAGCCCTTTCTTATTATATATTGGTGGCCTCAATCAGACCATTCGTTCAGAAGTGTCGCGTTAGGAAGATTCAATGAAGATGTAAGATGATCAAACAATCACTTCTTAAGTTTTCCGTTGCCTTCTTTTAAAATGCAAACAATAAATAAGCATTTGTAAATAATATTACGGTTTGGAAGAAGGCGTTTGCGACTCATGGCACAATATCCATGCACTTCTTCGCCAAGGAATTAAAATTTCAAACATATTATGACCCAAACTTTGTTGAATTTGGAAAAGAGTGTTTTCTACCACAAGAATAGCATTTACTTGATTGAAAACTGCATTAAGAACAAACTTGAATAGTCCATCAAGGTATATGCATCTTTAGCATGTGAAATTAAGATTTTGAACACTATTTTTATGACCGTGCGCTTATAGATTGCGGTATAAGAAGAGTATTTTATTAGCTCTATAAGCTCCGAATACGATTAGTAAATAACTTTACACCGACTACGAAGCCTCCGAAAAGCGTTTAACGGCAAGTTTTCAATAACATAACATAGCCATTTATTGATGGATTTCAACAACCTACTTTTTTAAAAACGTTTTTGTAAAGGTGTGTGTTTATGTCACGACCCCAAATTCTTTCTTATGTCACAGTTCTTAATATTTTCGAAAAAAAAAACCTGTGGAGCTTTAGGACCAGTCTCATGGATTTACCACTTTTACGCATGTACCGGATTTTCCAGAGGATGGTCCCAAAGCCATCCGGGTTCATGTTTACGTCACGACCAATTTTTTTTCTTATATCACAGTTTCAAGTGTTTATAAAAACCCTGGAGCTGATATTGAACAGTTTTATGGATTGACTACCTTTACGGATGCTTCGGATCTTCCGGAGGACGGTCCCATGGCCATCCGGGTCCATGTTTATGTCACGACCCCAATTTATTTCTCATATCACAGTTCCACGTGTTTCGCAAAAACTGTGGAGCTCTAGGATCAGTTTCATGGATGGACCACTTTTACGGATGTTCCGGATCTTCCGGAGGACAGTCCCATGGCCATGTTTATGTCACGACCCAAAATTCTTGCTTATATGACAGTTCCAAGTGTTTTCGAAAAACTGCGGAGCTCTAGGATCCGTGTCATAGATGGACCACTTTTACGAATGTTTCGGATTTTTCGGAGGACGACCTCATGGCCATCCGGAACCATGTTTATGTCATGACCCAAAGTTCTTGCGTATATCACAGTTCCAAATGATTTCGAAAATACCGCGGAGCTCTAGGATCAGTTTCGTGGATTGCCCACTTTTACGGATGTTCCGATTCTTCCGGAGGACCGTTCCGTTATCTCCAGGATCCATATGTAGGAACCATGACTGTATTCTGGCAAATTATGAACATTTGTGCCTATTAATCTAAATTATAGATCTTAAGCCACTTGCCAAATCCATAAAAGCACCTTTAAAAAAAAAGTGCAACGACTCTTTTCGCTTTTTAAAAAAGTAGACGACCCTATTTCAATATTCTTAAGATCAAAATAATCTACAGACCCTAGGAATTCTAGAAGTACCACAATTTTTGAAATTAATCAAGGAATGGCTAGGTTGCCAACTTGACGGTACACGCTTTTACGAGGCATCGTATTCGGAGTGTTAATCAGGTCTTGATAATTCTCCCAAAATTTGAGTTTCTTGAGCCATTTGATGTTTATGTGGGAATTACTATGGGAAAATTTAACTTTTTGTTCTCAATGTGTCCGTCTCTAATCTGAAACAGGTTAATGAGATTGCTGTCTCCCAGCTCTTTACGCTCGAGTATAGAGTTTACATCCCAGCTCGTGATGTGGAGATCGAAGGTGTGGTCACCGCTTCGGTGACGTTAACGTCGCTTCGAGTCTGACCCCCGAGATCTTGGAGAAGCAGGCGGTTGGCCGTTTCAAGAACCATTTGCTTCCCCCGGTGAAGATACTGGATGTCCAAAAACTGGGCTCAGTATCAGTCAGCGAGGGTAAAAAGAGTTTTACCCCCACAGACTCGTTCCGTGTGACCTTTTCTGGTTCAGCCCTTCCTCACTACATCGAGCTGGGAAAACTTCGACTACCTGTGCGCTTGTTCGTTCTCAGGGTCATGAACTGCCAAAACTGTAAGCAGTTGGGACATACGGTGTCCCACTGTGCCAGCAAGGCACGCTGTTCCAAATGCGGGGAGAAGCACGAGGATGGCGCCTGCACAGTCACTGCACCAAAATGCGTGTACTGTAAGGGAACTCCTCATGGTCTCTCGTCATGCCCGGTGTACAAACAACGCGGGGAGAAATTTCAGCGCTCACTCAAGGAACGTTCCCGGCAATCTTTTGCGGAAATGCTTAAGACGGCCACGCCATCGACCAACGACAAAAATCCAGTCTCTCTTTTGTCAGATGATGAGACTGACTCTGACTTGACTGATGAGGGAACTTCTTTCCGTTTTTCTGCACGGAAACGAAAACGCATCCGTTCGTGGAAAGTTGCAGATCAAGAACCCCAAATCAGCTTGCCCAAATCAAGGAGTGGTGGAAAAAAGAGACTTCTACTCCTCCTGGGTTCCGCAGAACTGACTATACCCAGGATTTTCCAACTCTCCCTGGGACATCCAAAACCCCTGATGTCCCATTTTTAAGAACAGAAGCCCCTTCTTCATCTGGGTTGTTCTCATTTGATAAAATTGTGGACGATATCCTCAAGTACCTCAATATTTCTGATCCTCTCAAAAGCATTGTTCTGGCAATGCTTCCTTCTGTGAAGACCCTCTTGAAGCAATTGACATAGAAATGGCCCCTCCTTGCAGCTTGCATTTTTCAAACGAGGTCGGGGATTAGATCACTGTTCTACAGTGGAATTGCCGAAGCCTTATTCCAAAATTAGACTCTTTTAAGTTTTTAGTTCACAATAATGATTGTGATGCATTTGCTCTTTGTGAAACTTGGCTCTCTTCAGATATAGATCTTCCTTTTTATGATTTTAACATTATTCGACTGGATTGTGAGGATTCGCGTGGAGGAGGGGTACTTTTGGGGATCAATAAGTGCCATTCCTTCTATAGAGTGAATCTTCCACAATTTACAGGTATTGAAGTTGTCGCATGTCAGGCTATTATTAAAGGTAAGAGCCTTTGTATTGCTTCTGTTTATATTCCTCCTAGAGCCGTTGTTAATCGATAACAACTTTCAGATATATGTTCAGTACTTCCTGCGCACGGTTGATTATGGGGGATTTCAATTCCCACGGTACAGGCTGGGGTGAACTGTATGATGACAACCGTTCTACTATGATATATGACCTCTGTGACAACTTCAATATGACAATTCTTAACAATGGAGAAGTAACACGTTTGGCTGGTCCATCCTCAAATGGAAGTAAATTAGACCTCACACTTTGCTCTAAATCATTATCGTTAGATTGCACGTGGAATGTGATCCAAGATCCCCACGGTAGTGATCACTTGCCGATCAAAATTTCGATTGCCAGTGGGTTCAATCTGTCGGAAT